TTGTAGAGATGAGATCTTGCTGCCCAGGCGGGTCTCAAACCCGCAGGCTCAGGCAATCCAGTCACCTCAGCCTCCCAAAGGCGCGGGATTACAGGCTTAGCCACTGAGCCTGGCTCCCCCAAAATTCTTATAAGACCTACAGAGCCCTTGGCAAACTATTCCAGACTAACCACCCCAGCCTCATTTCTCTTAATTTCCTCCTTAGAGCCTCTGCTTCAGTCATATTCCATTACTTAGAGTTCCTGAATGTGCCTGTTCTCTCTCAGCCCTAACCTTTTGTCTATTGTAGGTGCTCAAGGAGTAACTTAATGAGTGAATAAACAGGAACTATCATTATGTATAAAGTCCAGTGGTACTAGGGATACAAAGGAGGGCAAACTAAGTCCCTGACTCAGAGAAGGAAGAAAAAAAAAAAGAACAACAGCAGGGCTCGGTGGCTCAGCCTGTAATCCTGGGCCTTGGGAGGCTGAGGTGAGTGGATTGCCTGAGCCCACGGGTTCAGGACTCGCCTGGGCAACTTGGTGAGACCTCATCTCTACAATAAATAAAAAATGAGCCGGGTGTGGTAGTGTGCGCCTGTAGTTCCAGCTATCTGAAAGGCTGAGGCGGAAGGATCACTGAAGCCCAGCAGGATGAGGCTGCGGTGGCCGGGAGCGGCCACTGCACTCCAGTCTGGATGATGGAGTGAGACTCCAACTCAAAAAAAAAAAGAACAACACAACAATGCCGGGTGCGGAGGCTCACACCTGTAATCCCAGCACTTTGGGAGGTCGAGTGGAGAGGATTGGCCAAGCCCGTAGGTTCGAGACCAGCCTGGGCAACTTGGTGAGACCTTGTCTCTACAATAAATCATAAAAACTAGCTGGGCACGGTGGAGTGCATCTGTAGTTCCAGCTACTTGGAAGGCCGAGGTGGAAGGATCACCTAAGCCCAGCAGGTCGAAGTGGCGGTGGTCATGAGCGTGCCACTGTACTCCAGCCTAGGTGACACGAGTGAGATGCCAACTCTAAAAAAAATGTGTATTTTGGCTGGGTGTGGTGACTCAAGGCTGTAATCCCAGCACTTTGTGAAGCTGAGGCAAGAGAACTGCCTGAGCTCAGGGATTCGAGACCAGCCTGGGCAATTTGGTGAGACCTCGTCTCTCCAACAAATAAAAAAACTAGCTGTGTGTGGTAGTGCATGCCTGTAGTTCCAGCTCCTTGGAAGCTGAGGTGGAAGGATAGCCCGAGCCCAGCAGGTTGAGGCTGTGGTAGCCGGGAGTGGCCACTGCACTCCAGTCTGGGCGACAGAGTGAGACTCCAACTCAAAAAAAAAAAAAGATGGATTTCGGCCAGGCAAGGTGGCTCAAGGTTGTAATCCCAGCACTTTGGGAAGCCAAAGCGAAAGGATTGCCTTAGCCCAGGGGTTCGAGACCAGGCTGGGCAACTTGGTGAGCCCTTGCTTGTACAATAAATCAAGAAAAATTAGCAGGGTATGGTGGTAGGCACCTGTAGTTCCAGCTACTTGGAAGGCTGAGATGAAGGATTGCTTGAGCCCAGCAGATCGAGGCTGTTGTGGCTATGAGCGTGCCACTGCACACCAGCCTGGGCAACAGAGTGAGACTATGACTCAAAAAAAAAAAGGCGGATTTCAGAGTCACACTGCTAAGGGTCTCAAGGATCTATATTTAAACCAGCATGCTAGATGACTGTGAATCACTTAAAGATTCAGGCACAGTGGGAGTAATTTACAACAATAAGACCAGGCTGGGCTCAGTGGTTCAGCCTATAATCCCAGGACATTCAGAGATTGAGGCGAGTGGATTGCCTGAGTCTCTGGGTTCGAGACCAGCCCAGGCAACTTGGTGAGCACTCATCTCTACAATAAATCAAAAATTAGCTGGGTGTGGTAGCATGTGCCTGTAGTTCCTGCTACTTGGAAGGCTGAGGCAAAGGGATTGCTGGAACCCAGCAGGTCAACGCTGGGGTGGCCGTGAGTGTCCCACTGCACTCCAGCCTGGGCGACAGTGACACGTCAATTCAAAAAACAAAAAAACAAACAAAAAAAACCACAATAAAACCAGTTAAGCCGGGCAAGGTAGCTCACACCTGTAATTCCGACACCTTGGGAGGGTGAGGCGAGAGGATTGCCCGAGTCCAGGGGTTCGAGACAGTCTGGGCAACTTGGTGTGACCTAGTCTTGAATTTTTTTTTTTTTTGAGTTGGAGTCTCACTCTGTCGCCCAGACTGAAGTGCAGTGGC